TCGAAGTACTATGTGGTGGCGATCCCAAATCCCATATGTTTTTCCTTCGTAATAAAGATCCGATCGAGCAATAATAAATACTGGTTCGATAGTTTTGGGTGAAATTTCACAAAGACCAGAATTACGTCCCTACAAACAAAGCTATAGTGCCATTTTTTTAAAAAAAGAAAGTGTACTAAAATTTTTCGTGTTTAAATAAAGGAATTAAAAAATGGCTTTGTAATAAGATTTTGTAATAATAATTTATAAAAATTCGTTAATAAATTTATTATATGACCACATATAATTTTGATTTACATAGTACACCGTGTACCCAATGAGACGCGCACATATGTAAGTTTGAGCGGTTAATCAATGACGTGCAACAGGAGGAATCGCCGATGTTACACGACTGATCCTTCACTCGGTGCAACATATAAAAAATTATTTTACAATACCAGATAATTCGCTAATACATGTTATGCTTATAATCCCACACCATTTTTATTATAAATCATAACATGTACTAGCGGAATGATCTGGTATTGTAAAATAATTTTTTTATATAAATCAGTCGTGTAACATCGATGGTTCTTCCTGTTATGTCGTGCAGCATTATTATTTGTTTATAAATAAACTATTGCGAAAAATTAATATTATTTTACGACATATAATTTTATGTCGGGCGAGATTGTGCAGATAATAATAAAAACGACATTACAGAGTATTAGGTATATATCAAATAAATTCCTAACGTTAATCAGTAATAGGTGACACTGTATATTTTTCCGTAATTAGGATAGCATAAGCCCAAATTAAGAAGTTGACATCTGAATTAAAGCTTAGTGGTTCACGCATAAATTCCTATATGTTATAAATTGCCATAAATATCTAGACTTAAAAAAACAATACTTGTAATCATAATATGGTTACTCGGACGTAATTCGGATGAAATATTTTTTGAGAACAATTAAAAACCATACGAAAAAGTATCATATAAAAAATTGTTTCTGACAACATAGATTTTGACAATTTATGGCATTAATATATAGGAATGAAAGACACCACATTTGTTAGTGTTCCTGAAAATATTCTTTCAACATGGTTACTTGCGGTGGCCTTTGCATTAACTTTAGATTCATTCAGCCGAGCTTTGGTAGAGAAAAGCATCAGCAAAGGATATTGGCTTCTTATTCCCATAAACATTTCAATACTTTTTAACGAAATGGTTATGCCTATAATGATTACCGCAAGTTCATTTTGTACGAGTAGCTCGATACCAGGGCCAAGCTGCTCATATGTAGTAAGCTTTGTAAAGTGCCCATCCTCCACGAATGTATTGTTATACCTTTGGTTATTTCCAATTACGCAATTATTGTATTTACTATCCAAACCATTCTTGTTGCATCTTGCATATGTACGTTGCGCAGCAGTCTATCGGCCATTTAGAAGCACTGTATTTGTATGGTTTCACCGGTTCATATTGACATTACGCGTCGTAGAATTGGTAGTAATTTTCATCATTAGCATAATTGACAGCATTCAATGTTCTGGAACGT